ACTTGCCAGCAGTCAGATGGCTGGAGAGTTTCTAATATTAAAGCAGTCAGACAGGAGAGGAAAGCTTGGCTACTGAGCCACCAATCCCTGTGCCCACCCCAGCCTGGCATCAGAACTGCTGGGACTGGGATTTATTTGTGCATGCAAGATGGTGTAACAGGCAACACTAAACAAGGATTTGTTCTTGCAGTCTGTCACTCTGATCATACAACTGAAGCTTTAACTGATACTTCCAGTGCAGATTTCCTGTCTTTTTTTAGGTTTCAATTTTTGGAAGAGGTTTCTCCTAAGAGTTGTGATCAAATCTTGCCACATAAACAGCAAACCCACAGTGTTACAGTGTTGTACCTATGTTTTCTATTTAGTACATTAGAATCCACCAAATCCTCTTATTTAACCAAGAGCTACAATAATATATGAGGAGCCTCTATACATCAACTAGAACAAGTTTTTGACGACTTTCAGTTGAGTAAAACTAATGATTCTATTCAAATTTATCGAACCAGTCATGTCTATTCAATGGTGGTTTATATTTAATAAAAATGAGTAGAATGCAGGGGTTTTCCCCAGGGAGAATGAACATTACCTGTGCATTCAATGACACGTAGGCAAATACCAATATTTCTGTTTGTCCTGTATCTCCTGGATACAGAACTCCTACGTCATGTAACTGTGTGTGAGGGGGTTTTGGGGTGGTTCCCCCCCCCCCCCATTTTGGACTGTTTACTTTTTCACTGAGAACACACAAGGAAAGGTATCTGCCAACAGACAGAGCATTAATGTCATTTTTAAGGAGCAAGGGAGGCTCGGGCAGACCAGCAAAGGATTATCTGGTAACAAGTGCAAAAATATGTATCTTTGTTTTCAAGTAATATATATTTAAACTGCCACATTCACAGGTTTTTCATTCTTAATTCCATTCCATTTTCCTTTTGTTTTCTGAAACCTATGTAGGGTTTACTGAAACAGGGTATATCTGCCACAAGTGTGGCTTACTGGGGTTGTTTTCCAGGTCAAATCCCACTACTTCAGGAGTAATTTTTGATCCCCTGTGTTTGCTAGGTGTCACGGTTTTGCTTGTTCTTAGAAACTAAGCAGGAATTTTTCCCTTCTCTCTGCCCACATGTGAAGGGGATGTTGAATGGGCAGACTGACTGTGGCTTAGGCAATTGAGTAACACAAAAGAAGTGGCTGGTAAAACCACAATCCAAGTTGTCGACCCTCAGGATCTTGTCTCTTGTCTGTGGGGAGGGGTAAGGAGCTCTTTATAACTTTTTTTTTTTTTTTTTTTTTTTTTTTTTTTTTTTTTTTTTTTTTTTTTTAAATTTTGGCAGCAGTTCTTGTGCACATCAGAGGACAGGGGAAGCTATAGCACACGACTCAGGCAGCAGCACAGAGTGAGTTCCCATTGGGAAGGACCTTTTCCTCTCTCTCCCTCCTGTGTCTCCCCGTTCCCGGTGAGGGGGAGGCAGGACCTCCA